TACACTTATAATCCCAGAATTTGGGAGGCGGAGGCAAGAGAATCACCTGTTCAAAACTAGCTTGAGCCCAGGTGTGGTGCACATGCCTCTAATCCCAGCACTCTAGAGGCAGATGCAAGGCCACACCCAGCTGAATTATTCTTTCCTTCTTTACATTTATTTACTTATTTAGTGTAGGTGTCCCCACACCTATATGTGGGTGCACACATGCAGAGTACACAGGCAGAAGTCAGAGACAACAGGAGGTTTTCTCCTTCTGCCATGTGGATCCTGGAAGTCAAAATCAAGTTATCAGGCTGGACACTGTCAGGAAGAACTACCTGCTGAGCCATCTTGCCAGGCCAGCCCACAACCCTAACTCTGGATATTATTCTTTCTCTCCCTCCCTCCCTCCCTCCCTCCCTCCCTCCCTCCCTCCCTCCCTCCCTCCCTCCTTCCCTCTCTCTCTCTCTCTTTTTCTCTCTCTCTCTTTCTCTCTCTCTCTCTCTCTCTCTGCAAGGGACACAGATCTCATATCTGTCTAGTCTCAACTCACTGTGTAGCTGTGATCTGCCTGACAACCTCATCTTCTGCCTCTACCTGGAATTACAGACCTACATCACCACACCTAGTTTACCTAATGTTGAAGATCAAACCCAGGGTATCCTATATACCAGACAGGCACCCTAACAACAAACAGAACTATATTTTTATCCCTAATCTTTTAACATTTCAAAGACAGTTTTACATTTCATGTAAACAGTATCTCTATAGCTGCCAGAAAATACAGGGACATTAAAATATCAAAACCGAGGCCACAAAGGCAGCTCAGTGAGTAAAGGTGCTTGCTGCCAAGCCTGACAACCTGAGTTTGATCTCTAGGAGTGACATGGAAGGAAAAGAACCAACTTTTGTAAATTGTCCTCTAATTTCCACAGATATACCATGGCATTTCTGCTCCCACACATACACATAAATCAACTAATCAACCAATAAATGTAATTAGTTTTTCAAAAAGATATTAAATGCCTATTTAAATTCCATTCTTTTGGGTTTTTTTTTTTTTTTTTTTTTTTTTTGGTTTTTTTTTTTTTTTTTTTTTTTTTTTGAGACAGGGTTTCCTCTGTGTAGCTCTGGCTGCCCTGGAACTCTCTCTGTAGAGCAGGCTGGCCTCAAAGCCTGCCTCTGCCTCCCGAATGCTGGGATCAAAGATGGAAAACCTGTGTGCCTTCACCACCCACCTGAAAGACAGTTTTTAAGGCAATAACAGGTAAAAAAAAAAAAAAAAAAAATTACATTTATAGTTCAGATTAAAATCAACATAAAAATACACAAAAATATTGATAATATTCCAATTAAGAGCTATAATACATAAACTAACTCAAACGTTAGGATATTGCAATAGTCAAGGAATGAGGTGACCAAGGACCTTAAGCAAAAAACACCAAAATCTAGAAACAGTGCTCCTTAATTAGCTATTAGTTCAACATAAATTGACTAAATTGTCAAGCTAAGAAGCTTCCAACCAAGTAGGAAGACAATTCCATATGGCAAAATATACATAAGTAAATAAATGCAGTAGCCACTCTAAACACGATAAAGAAATTCCATCTAAGAAGTAGTCCAAAAGAAAAGGGAAGGATGTCTTCTAACAAAGAGTATTACGGAGTGTGTGTGTGTGTGTGTGTTTTAAAAAAAGCATCTGATGTGAGATTGAAACAAACTTTTGACAAGTGACCATTAAGTGACAGGAAGACAAAACTGTACATTCAGGTAACAACAATAACAACAACAAAAAAAAATCTATAGAAACTATGAGGGACTCCAGAAGAAAAATGGACTAGAAAATTAGGAAGCAAGAATACTTGGATTTATATGCAAGGGTAAGCAATCTGGGGCATTTATATATAAAGAATCAAAAGAAGCAATTGGAAGATTTTGTTTGTTTTTTCTAAACTAGCTTTTTCTTGGTAGCTCGGGCTGTCTTAGAACTCACTCTGTAGACCAGGCTTGCCTTGAACTTAAAGGCTTGCCTTCTGAGTACTAGGATTAAAGGCCACCACCACCCAGTGCCACCAGATGATTTTTAAAGAAATTAAATTTATCATTGTATCCTTGTAGGTAAATCATCACATGAAATTTTAACAATAAGATGGTAGACTGGGGGCTAGAGAGATAGCTCATCAGTTAAGGGGCTTTTTGCTCTTCCAGAGGACCAGAGGTTTAATTTCTAGCACCCATATCATGGCTCATAACTGTATCTCCAGGTGGAGGGAATCCAATGTCCCCTTCTGGGCTCGGAAGCCACCAGCTGTGCATGTGGTACACAGAAATACACCCAGGGAAACATCCATAAACAAAAACTGTAGACTAGACAGGACAGAAATGGGAAAACAGTAAGCTTTCACCAGTCTTGGAAGGAACTTTTCTTAGGGTGGCAGGCTAGGAAAAAGACAGAGACAAACATTCTGCCAATCATCTCATTCATTGATAATTTACTCATAGTTTAACATATTCTAAACCCTAACATACCACACAAAACAAAGCTGTCATTCACATTATTTCCATTAAGAAATATTCACAAAAGGGTATGAAATTGTATGGGTAGGAAAGGGGGGATGGGACTGGGAGGAGTTGGTGGGAGGATTGGAAATGTTCAAAATATGTATAACACTGAGAGTGTGTGTGTGTATGTGTGTGTGTGTGTGTGTGTGTGTGTTTAGGCCAGGTGTGATGGCATACCCCTTTATTCCAGTACTTGGAAGGCAGAGGCAGGTGAATGTCTGTTAGTTCATGCCAGGCATCTACTGCCTCAAAAAAAAAAAGGAGGAAAGAACAAAAATTCACTTTATAGTCAATGTTTCAGCAGGTTTAAAAGCAATTTCTTTTTAAAATATTATTAGTAACAAACATTCTTTAGTAAGGATGCAGGACAAAAGATAATATAAACAGATTTTCAGTGTTCTGAATATTTAGTATACAGAATTTCATTCAGCGATAAACATCTTAAGCTCAAAAGTTTATTTTAATGAAAAATAAAGTTTGGGTCAGAATTTTCTATTCAACCATATTAAAACCCACACCTTTCCATAATTATAATAGCTTTCTGAAAAGTAATTTCTGGGCCAAACACGGTGGTACATGCCTATAACTCAGCACTTCTGAGGATGAGACAGAAAGAGTACAATTTTGAGAGAACTGCGAGCCTCCACCACAAAGAGTTAGGCTAGCCTGAGCTATACTTTGAGATTCAATCTCAACAATAAATAAATGAATCATAACTTCAATTCAACTTGGCCAATATTTTTCTAAAAGATTAAAATGTTTCAATCATTAGTGCCTTCTTCATTTTCTACCCTTCTCCCTACTCAAGTCCCCCACCCAACAAATTCCCTTTGTATGTATGGAAGGCAAGATACTATATGATCCAGCATGATCCTAAGGCAATGTGCTTACATAATTCTTATAAATACAGATATATAGCATTATTTACTGGTTACAGGAGAGATGCCAGTGGTACACTGGATTTCTGAACACATAAATGATAAATGTATCTAACAGAAGCAATACTTTACCATTGGGGAAACAAAGGGGAAAACACAATAGATGGTGGCAAATCTTACAAAACTTTACTAAACCCTGAAAAGCTGTATGTGGGTCACAACCACAATTACAGAAGTAAACCAAGACGGTTCTAAAACAAAGGAAAAGAGAAAAAAATCTTAGTGATAATTAAGAGTTTTCAAAAAAGGGTGATTCACTATTAGTATTAGTGTTTAAGGCATCATTTAACACTATCACTAATTTTTAAAGAAGATAATTCTCCATTCACAAGGACACAAGAAATAATTACTACATACCTCCTATAAGACATTTATTCTTCATTATACTTGCATGGACTCCATTCTTTTTAAAGGTTTCCAAAAATACATTCTTATAATAAGCAAGGTTCCCTAATGACAAACGTTTCTCTGTAGGCTTAACTATAACCCATTTTAAAAAGACATTGAATTCATCCTCAATAAACACAGGAATCACAAAGGCCCTCTGCTTATTCAAAATCATTACATAAAGCACTGTCGGTAACTGCAAAGAAGGTCTGAATATCTGACAGCTATAATAACCTAAAATGAGGCACACTTTAAAGAACAAACTTTCTCATTTCCCTTTCTTTTTCCTTCCCTATCAGAGACACAAAATATCTCTAGTTGCCTCAGCAAAGCTCTCAAATAAAAATATATTTATATATACATCTCACCTGTACATGTAGGGAAACCTGTCACATATATCCCATTCACAGGAAAGAGAAAGGTTCTATTTTTAAGAGTCAAAATTATATCAATTCTGACACCCAAATTAAGTTAAATCACCATGAATTAATTAACGAGCAATAAAATACTGCATGCAGACCTAAGAGGCTATATGCATAGATGGAAAAAAACCTCAGACTAAGGCCATGAATGAATAAAACCGCCCAATCCCTGAAAATTACTAAACGGCATTTGGTTTCTATGAGAGAAACACGGAGTCTTTAAATAAATAATCACAAAGGCAACTCAGTTTCTGAAGTTAACCAAGGAAAAATACAACGAACCAAATCAGACAACTGCATTAAGATATAAGCTTTAAGGAACTCCCACAAAAGGAAAAATTGTCTTCATGCATGCTTTATAGAACATCTCTTGCAGGTAGGAATCTTAAAAAAAAAAAGTGGAGGACTGTCAAAAACCTTTATGACATGCAAAGGCAAAACCAAAAACTGATCTTTCCTCCCTCCCCCACTCCAATCCCCCCCACCCCCACCTTCTCAGGACAATGGGAGCAGGGTCCTATCTAACTGCAAACTTTAAAGGTATAAACCAGAGCAGTTTTACTGCAGCTTTAACTGCAATCTGCCCCTCATCTCTAACCTGGCGCACCCAAGAATACTTCTGGCCTGAAAACATCACCGGTGTTTTGTTAAGCACAAATCAGACCCATCCCAAAAATAAAAAAGAAATAAAAAGTTTGATTTCAAATACCTGGAGGATCCATTTCAATATAAAATATCAGTTCTGTCGAATAGGGCATCATCACCTCTCTCCAGTCTGCGTCATCGCGGTCCATACTCCACACCGTATTGTACATCGCGCTATCAGGGGCAGGTCGTCAGGAAATATATAGAAAGCATATATATATATATATATATATATATATATATATATATATATATATATATATATATATATATCTTTACCATATATATATATATATCTTTACCATATATATATAAATATATATATTTAAAGTTCCAAACGGAAATGTACTTAGGGGTTTCCAACGGCCAGTAAGAATCCAGCCAACTACTGGGATGAGGACAAGGTCCTCCCCCTCTCTCCTACAGCACCCAACAAAATGCCCCGAACTTTGAAGCTACGGGGTTTTACCTCAGAGGATTACAGAGAGGCTCGGAAAGCAGAGAGCAGTGGTGTTAAAAAGCCGCTTCCCGAAAAATCCTTTCTACACAATCGCTCTCCAAAGGGAAAATCTCCCCACCGCCTCCTAATATTTCAGCGGAAGCCACTTTTGTGTCCTTCGGAGAATGGGAGAGGAGGAAAAAAGAACGCGTCGGGAGAAAGCCGGGGAAGTGACAAAGGCTTGAAAAGGGGGGTTGCGTTCAAGTTTCGGGGTTCCACTGGTGTGCAGAGAGCGATTCCCTCTGGGACTGGGACTCGGGCTCTGTTCGCGTCAGGCTGGGAACCCAAGCTTCCGCAGCTTCGGGATGGCGACCCGTTGGAGAGTCCAGTCTGCACGGCTGTGCGCCGATAGTAGAGGTAACACCGCCAGCACCGGCTCCCCTCACGCTCTGCCCGGGCTCCAACCACTAGAGTTTCATTTTAACTGCGCGGAGGGAACCTCCTCCCCCGCCCTCCCTCCCCACCCCCGCTGGGGCGCCACCCAACCGTGCGGGGCAGGGGGAACAGACGATAGTACGACTGTCCTTTCCACTCCGCGCCATCTTGACATGCAAAGGTTGTCAAGTGCCGGAGAAACAATTACTACTATAGTCCTCCACTCCGACTCTTAACTCTCCCTGCCACCGAGTAAGACTCTAGTCTCTAGTCAACCTTTATGTCTACCCCCAGCCTCACTCAAAATGGTACAGCCCGGGCGCTGGCCGCTCGCCAGGAGTCAGAAGCGGGCGCACGCGAGCTCAGCCAGGAGAGGGGGGCAGAAGGTGATTGGCTGATCCCGGTTGCCGGAGCCCGAGCCTGCGTCTTTTGTCTGCCCTGCTCCAGCTGAGGAGCGGAGACGGCTGCGCGCCCCCAGCGGGCCAATCAGAAGAAAGCCGGCGCCGGCCGGTAAGGCGGCGATTGGTCGGACCTCAGTTACTAAGCGGGACAAAGGCAGAAGGGGAAAAGAAAAGAGGAGGAAGAGGAGGGGTTGGGGAGAAAGAATGAAGGCGCAAAAGGCGGTTACTGACAGGCTGGGCGAGCGCTCGGGGGCTCAAGCTGCCCGGAGACTGGCGGGGCTCCCGCTGTGGCTCGGTCCTCCCGGACTAGTGACGAGGGGGAGGACGGGCTGGCGCTAGACTCCTCTGCCTGGAGACTAGCTGCGGGGGAGGGGAGCGGGGGTAGTGGGGCGTGCTGTCACTTGGCTGGGTGCACACTCTTGAGCTCCACTGAAAGTCTCAGGGCAGAGTTCCTCCTCACAAACCTCTTCACCTTGCTGCGTTCGTCCTACCCTACCCCTGTGTTAAACCGTCAGATACAGCCAAGAACTCCAAACCCACTTGCATGACTGTTCCTGGCCAGACAAGGTGCCCATCGCCCCTTGCAACTCCCTGCGGGTACCTGAACCTTGGGCATTCCTTGAGGAGTCATTTTGCCGCTACTCTGCTTCCCACTGAAGGACTTTTGAACCCAGAATAAATCAACGCTCAAGTAAATAGTGAGGCATCTCAGCAAGCCCTTCCAGTTCCAGCACTCATAAAATTTTTCTGGAATTACAGTGTGTGATTTCTGAGATAAATCACAGGTGTTGGATTCTCTCGCCAAAAAGCCTCTATTTCTGCTCCCTGACAGACCCCCTTCCTCACACATAGTCCCCTCCCTCGAAGCTTAAAAGCCCAGCTTCAGAACGAAAATGCTGAACATTTCCATTCATTGCAGAAACCGCTAATTAACTTTCCGGGGAACACTGAATAGCCCTAACCTGTGCCTGGATTTGCCATTCTGCTCTACAATACAGTCTGAGGAGGCCAAAAACTGGTTTCCTCTTTACACTAGAGCAACAAAGCCCATTGTGTTTTAGTTGACAATCTGATTTAAGCCCTAGCAAAACCTACCCTGGTAGCTGTGTATTGATTAGCCTCTGGAACAGTCCTCACTTTTCACCCTCCTGAGGTGGTTCTGCTTTTCTTAGAGTGTTTTGAGTTAGGCCGGCATTCGTGTTCACGCCTTTAGTCCCAACACTCTGGAAACAGAGACATGTACATCTCTGAGTGTGAGGCCAGCCTGGTCTACAGAGTAAGTTCCAGGACAGCCAGGGCAACACAGAGAAACTGTTTCTAAAAAACAAAACAAAAACAACAAAAAGAAGTCCAGCTTTGAGGCAGACCCAAGAAACAGTCAAAATCAAAAAAAATGTGTACAGACTAGATACAAAGTAAAGGGATAAAAATAATCCAAGAGCCGGGCGTTGGTGGCGGCAGGCCTTTAGTCCCAGCACTCAGGAGGCAGAGGCAGGCAGATCTCTGTAAATTAGAGGCCAGCCTGGTCTACAGAACGAATTCCAGGACAGCCTCCAAAGTAATACAAAGAAATCCTGTCCCGAAGGTGGGGGGGAATCCAGGAAATACAGATAGGGTTAAGCTTTAAAGGAAACAACTTTCAAAAGCACACAAGAATTCCTTTAGAATCCTTGAGATGCTTTCTTCTATCTCTTGAGTTGAAATGTATTCAGAAACTAGAGCAGTTCTGGGGCAGGGCTCATTAATTTTAATCTCCTGAACTGCTCCTTCAGTTAGAAGATGTTGGAAGATCAACTGTAATTTGTGGCTGACTTCCCAGCAGTCTCTACTTCACCATATCTGAGTGCCAAGAGTATTCACATTTGATAACTCAAAAGGCAGAACAGTCAGTCAAGGGCAAGTTGGTGAATGTTTGCTCACAGGTGTCCCTGTGCATTCCCAAACAAAAAGTCAAGAGACAAAGTATGGAAAATGATAATGGCTTTCATGATTCCACAGCAGCTTTTGCCTGGACCACTTTTTATCAGTTAGTGAGACTTTTCAGTTTCTAAAGTACAGAGTAATCACCCATGCCTTTCCCACATCTAAGGTTTAGGGTAATGGTGTGAAAAGGTGACACAGTAAAAGTCAAATGCTCCAGGTTGATACATGGCATAACGCAAGTGTGCTGGATAGTTTTATGTCAACTTGAAACAGCTGAAGTCATCTAAGAGAAGGGAACCTCATTTAAGGAAACAGCTTCATAAGCTCAGGCTTTGAGCAAACCTGTAGGGCATTCTTAATTTGTGATTGAAGTGGAAGTAGGCTAGGCAAGCCAGGGAAGCAAGCCAGCAAGCCCCACTCCTCCATGATCTCTGCATCAGCTCCTGCCTCCAGACCCCTGCACTATTTGAGTTCTTACTCTCACTGCTTTTGATGATTGTCTATTATATGGAACTCTGAGTGAAATAAACCCTTTCATCCCCAAGTTGCTTCTGATCATGGTGTTTTATCACAGCAATAGTAACCCTAAGATAGCAATGATTCAACCTTCCCACCAAAAATTGTACAACCCAAATCTCTAATTTATACAGACCATTGAATAGACTTCCAAGGAATGAGTGGAAGAAGAGGTTATGGTGATGTCCAGAAAGAGAACATTCCCTTTAAGATGCTTAAATCACTGCTCTACCTTAGTGGGAAGTGCCTATCACATGATGCTGGCTTTTCTTTCAGTTTAAGAAACAGAATCAATGCTCTGATGGCTTGTCATTTAACTGCCTCTGGCTCTTTGGCAAAGGTAGAAAATGTTAGCTCTGGTGTCCTGGACCACTTCCATATTGGAGGATTATATTTGGCCTGTGTGTGGATTAAATTCAGCTTTAAGAGCTCAAACTCCTGGGTCACAACCTACTACTTTGGGAGGTGCTTTTTTTTTTCTTTTGCCTCCCTTCTTTCTTCAATTTAAATTAGCCTTAAGTAAATCACAAAATCTATCTGCCTTTATTTATGTATTTGAAATAGAAGATTGCCATTGGATTTATGCAAGCTACTTTATTGTAAAACACTCAGAATGGGAAAAAAATGCCACTTAATAATTAGAATAGTACCTTTCTGAACTCCAAATAGCTAGGATGCCCTTTCTTTTTTTTTATCCTGGTATGTTTTTTTTTTTTTTTTCAAAACTGTTCAAATATGCTCCACCTCCCCCCATATTTCAGAAATGGATAAAAATGTTCTTCTGTGCTCTGAATATAGTATATGATCTCAGAGTCCTCAGTGCCAGCAGAATCTGCCTGGAACTCAGCCAAAAGTTATTCATGATTAAAGGTGCCATCTGAACACAATTTTTTTTTTAAGTTTGGCAAAATGAAAATGTATCTTATTCCCTGTGGTCATTAGCTTTAACATCAGAACTGACTTTAGCCTTTGAGGAAGAATTCCACTGGCCTCATTCTCCTCCCCACCCCCCATCACCTTCCTTTGTCCACTTATCTCCTGAGACCCAGTCCATGAAGCTAAATAAATTCACTTAATGAACGGAAAGCAAAGGAAACACTAAAAATTATCAGTTACAGCTTCTGTGGGCTCCCTAAGCCACATGCTTTTGGATGGAAAAGTTTCTTTTATATTGCAAAATATCAGTGTTAATAGATCTTCTAGAAAGACATTTCACCTGGGAGTTGATAGACATTTCTTGAGATAGCTATGACTAAAATCAATCTGAATACAGTCTCTCTTACATGGCATTTACAATTTCTTTACTTCCCCTCCTCTTTCTTTTAACACTTGGATGGTCATGATAGAGTTAATCGTATCAACCTAAGGTACTGAGAAATTATGACAGTAGATGAATGAGAAGGTGTTATAGAAGTGGCATTTATCCAATTGTTGATGATGTCCTGGGCTTAGAGAGCTGAGACCCCCCTCAGCACCTGTTGGAGATATGTTCTGCCACACTCTCTCCACCTTGGGTTCTCCTTCAGCTTTAAGGGATAGAAGAGTACATCTCTCTGTAGCCTGACCTGTTCCTCTCTTTTAATATCTGCCCTTCTAGCAACACAGAGGCCTCCTGAATGATATGTATGCCAATTCTACAAATGTCCCCTCCAACAAGGCAACAGATTTCAGCTTGGCTCTCACCAGGAGACAGAGCAAATGAGATCCAAATGACAGGAACAATAGTCCAGGCTGTTTTGCTAGGTCAGGGCACAAACAGGGCAAGCAGCTGGTGAGCTCTGTAACCTCATTTAATCTCCATAACCCTGGGGAAGAAGGTTGTATTTTTATTCTCATTTTACAGATGAGGAAATTGAGACCCAAATCAGAGAAGGAACTTGTTCAAAGTCATGCAATCACTTAGTAACAAAGCTGGCAGTAGAGCCCTGGGTCCTTTTGGTGACATCACAGTTTCACCTCTTTGTTCAGCTAGCAAATGTTTTTAACTTAGAGATACAAAAATGAGTAAGAAAGAATCCCTAACATTGAGTTCTACAGACTCATAGAGCAGGGATAGCCAACAAAGGGTTAAATAATGACAGGCATGGAAAGTAAATGCTGTGGGAGCTTCAAAGAGGTGAGGCTCTGGAGCAGTGATCCTCAACCTACCTAATGCTGCCACCCTTTAGTACAGCTCCTCCTGTGTGGTGACCCCCCCCAACCATAAAATTATTTT